AAGACAAACTCTCCATGCAAAGATAGGGAGCAAATACATTAGCAGGGTTGCCGTGTTTTCAATTGTGGAGTCCCCAATTAAAGTGGCAACCCTGTCAATAATGTATTTGCTCCTGTCTCTGCACGGAGAGTTTGTCTTGATGTAGAGGTGGACTCTCAGGGTAGGGTGGGATATCCCCTCTATTTTGGCCTCAACTAGAGAGCTATTTTTGAGCTTGGGAGTTGATTTCAGAGAAAACCAATGGCACCATCGTGCTTCTCGCGACCTTTTACATAAGAATCAACAGTCACATTGCAAATTTCTCACACATGCAAAATTTCCATTCTTCTCCCTCCAGCCAAAATATCACAAGCGCCATGCAACGTTTCAAAATTTCCGCCACCATTTTATTTTAGGCAGAGGATTCTTTCAACGAAGCTGTCCGAAAATTTCACTGAGTTCTCTTTGTACTGCCAATACAATTCAGTGAAACTTTCAAACGGATTCAATCAACAATTCCTCTGCGAAAATATAAATGGCGGCGGGAATTTTGAAACGTTGAATGGAACTCGTGATACATCTCCGTGCAACATCTCCATTAGGCAAAAGCTGATGTGGCTTGATTCCTTCCTGCTAAAAACGGACCATGTAACGTTAACCATGAATCCAAAGGGTACCCGATCGCGAAACCAGAGCTGAACCTGGCGGACGGACATCAGCTCGAAAGACCCGGAACAATTTTCCGCTTGGGTCCGCAATTGCGGTACAAACGCTCGCCACCAAGAAGATGAAATTCTCGAGTGCGTACTCGAGGCTGCTCCCTCGTTTCGGTACACAATATACCAGCCCGGAACCTTTTTCTCGGGGGGTAAATATTTTCCGGCTTTATAGAATAACAGCGAGCGGATGCATTTGAAATTTAGATTTCCTCCTCCCCTCCCGTCCCGTCCGGCGCGACCCTCCCCTGAACTTTGCCCCCCCTCCGCCCCCGCCCGGATACGGGAGACGGGCCTGTCCATCCGACTTGGCCGGGCTGCGCGGTGGAAAAATTGAATGCATAAGTAAATAAACCCCGTAAGCAACATTCTCTATGATGGATCTATTGTACGGAGAGCTTCTTTGTGCTATCACCCGGCATGATTGATGCCCTCCTTCGCGCCGCAACGTGTCGGGCTTTTCTTCGGATGAGGAGGCGCATGAATGTGTCGTGCGTGTTCGCCGCAACATCTGCCGGAGGATTTCCCGTCCTCCGAGAGCGTTCGTTCCGTTTACCGTAGAATTGACTAGAGAACCTACAAACCCAAATAGAATTTTCCGACGGAACAACCGCGAGATTTTAAAAATAAGTTAAGATTTTTTTTTTACGATTTTTGGGCGATAGGATCGCTGGGAACGTCGACATTTGAGCGCTTATTCTCGATCTTGTCGCAATGGACATCGAATTGGATCCGGACAATATCATACATTATTATTCGAACAAGTTCAAACGTGATAGCTTCAACCAACGTTCTTGAGATTTGTGTTTCTGGTAGTTAAACGTGATGGATTTTGACCAACGATCTCTTTTAACTACAAAGAGTTACTTGAGGTGGAATGACTTAACTCTATCACATCCTTGAATTTTTCCAGTCGGTAGACGGATTAAGGCAGTTTCAGAAAGGTGAAAATGCCTACGAGATTCAGCATGTGTCAAGCCTGTCTTTTGACGGTGAAATTATGCTGATCAAAGGTAGCGTACTAGCAAAGCCAGCGAGACTGTAAAAGATGACACCGCGGCATACTTAGATGATCTAATGAATGGGTTGAGAAATTGTTACACTATGTTTAAAGGCGGCTCTGAAAGCATGAGTTTGAAGTACGTCCAAAGATCAGTCCTTTCCCGGTATTTTTTTTCTATGCTGGACAAATCATTGTTTTTTCGTTTGTCAATGGAGGACCTGGGCCTCGTTGTTTTTCTCCGATTTTAAATACTCATTAACATCTGATTTAGACGAAAGTGATTTTACATACACTTCTGATTCAGACGAAAGTGATTTTGTGAAAAAGAATATTTATAAATTCCAATATATTTGAATGAAAAAATGAAAAGTATTCCATTAATAGGTAGTCCCATTAATGCACCGAGAAGAAAAAACGCAGTTATTCTACCGTCACAACGGTAGAAATGACACACGGGATCCCACGGTAGTAGAACCGTGGATTTTGATTCTTGTAACGATGAGCACGGTGATAGGACCGTGTTCACCATAACATTACCGTGGGCACAGACATACTATTATGAGCATGGTTATGCCACTGAGCTCATCAATAATATTACCAAAATCCACGGTTCCACTACCGTGGAATCCCGTGTGACGTTATTACCCATCAGTACCCATGGGTTATCTCATTAATTTAAATAAGTTAAACATTGGCAGGATGGGGAGGAGGTAATTAGTAAGTTTTTTCTTTTAAATTAAAGTTTTAATCCGCTGAAGAAGGGGTTGGTCATTTTTTTCCTCGAAACGCCCGGTTTTTAATGTTCTTGCCATTCGTACCGTTTGTAATCCCAATTTTTGTGTGTCAATGTTTGTATTAAGTCGGGCTGCGCCGTTCCTTCATTCATATTACAATAAATATATATATTCCAACAATATATTTTCAATCCTCCTTTTCTATATGCAAATAATCTAGCAGACGCTAGCAATGCCCTATTAGAGGTGAATCAAGCAAAAGCCGATCAATAAATCATTGCAATAACTGGCATTAATCAACAACTACACGCAAAAAATTCTCTTAAATCAACAAAAGCGTCAGTCATCCGAGAGGCAATTGTTTCGGGGTTACAAGAAAAACCTCGTAAACAACAAAAACAAGAGCTAGAGCCTTTCGTAGCAGATCTCTAAGAAAACAACTGGCGAATTGCCGCTTTCAGCAGAGCGTCAACTTATTTAAACCGTGATGATCATGATTCATTCAGTGGCAGAGGTGATTCTTGCAAGGCGCAAGTAAGACTGAAGCTTTCTTCTCAAAAATCATTTCAAGAAATCAGTGATGAGAGACAGCCGACCATCATCACCACCACCACCACCACCACTATCCCCAAACCCACAAGAATTATCAATGTTTCTACATAATTTTTTCGAGTGGATCAAATTTAAGTTCCAAAAATTTATCATGATACATCCATAGTGACGATTTGGGAGGGCCAATGATGGATATTATTGTCACTACTTGGTGCATGATTTTTTATTAATTCCCTACAACTTTTACGTTACTTTTCGTAAATAATCACGATCAAATCATTTCCATTTCGAGTGTTGGTGCGATTTACAAGCGGAGAATCGGGTGCAGTGCCGGTAGAATTTACTAAGGGTCAGAATCATGCGTACACATTTCACTAAAGTTAAAAGTACGAATGCTTCTGGAGTCCGGTACATTGAGACACCCCGGAATCTTTGCTCGAATTGCAAGTTGTCGTACACAATAATGATGTCCTGATGGATTCGGTAACCACAAAACAGGAGAAGGCAGCATTCAGCGATAAACCCGGATACTACAATTGCTTCATCTACGTAATCAAAGGTACGTGAGGAAAAGATAGTGCATTCGTGTTTTTTATACGTCTATTTCTTGCAACACCCATGCTTTTCCAGTCAAATTCCCTTCTCTGAATGTATCCCAGGAAATATTGCCATTAATATTGGCATCTATTGTGGAAATATTACCATTTTCCTTATCGAAGGGCATACCCTGATATCCATGGCAGCAGTCTGCTGACTAGTCAACTCCTGATCATTTCGACAATTACAATTCTATTTAGTGAAATTAAGTCCTCAGACCCCCTCCCCAAACCGACTAGTTGAGCAGAATTCTTAGCTACCTTAAAAGAGTGTTTAACGTATGAATCTTCAGTGCGTTATTTAAATATCAGTAGTCTTTGTTGTATCAGTGATATATGTCCATACAGTGGAAGTAAAATACAGAACACGAGGTGGAAGAAGAGGCCGCACAGCCCCCCTCGTAGTATTGTCGCTCTCTCTCTCTCATGCCTGATCCTATTACAAGAGCCGTCCGCCACATTAGCATATACACTGATCGCGAGACAACCTTCGTCCCGTGTCTCAGCCGCGACAGTTTTGCGGAAGAACGGTTTATCCCTAGACCGGAAAACGTTCACCTCCTGAATCTTAGGAACACAGTGGTAGCTCTTCATGATGCGGTGACACCAGCAGTCCATCGTAAGAGGTTTTACGACAGAAATCCTATTCCCGGAGCCTTATGTACTACGGGTCATGTGTTTAGGGCCGATGTTCTCTGTGCCATTTTTCAAAATCAACTCTGATGAGCCATCAAACCTTCCTACTGTTCCTTTCAATAAAATTATCTCCTATGTTGAGGATAAAATTCGTGATGAACCTTTGTAGTTGCTGCTACGATCAGAGGCGGTGTGTGAGGTGCTATCAATTGATACCGGCAGCAAGTTAAACGGAACAGAGGTCCTGAAAATATTGATGTGGTGTCTAATAACAGGTTTAAACAATGTTATTACATGCGTACGTTCAAAATCGATCTGGAAAATACCATCATTTTCTGTAAAAAGCACAAAAATCTTAAATTCATACGAGCTGATAAATCCAATATAACAGTTGTCATGAATGCTATCGATTATGATATAAGATGATGAAATTACTGGGTGATACATCTACCTATAAAAAGGTGAATAGGTCTCTTGTCCCCTCACAAACTCAAAAGAATAATTGCATTGCTAAACATTGGTTTAAGGAAGGTTTTATCAACGAACAGCGGTTGAAGCATCTGTTGGTAAGTTGTTTGTCTGTTGCTAAAATTGCATAAACCTGACCAACCTCTGCGCCCCATCGTCAGCTCCATTAATATACCTTACCAAAAAATGTTTAATTCCTTGCCAACGTTTTGGCCAACGTGATTGGGAAAAGTGAATACCATATTAGAAATTCTTTGAGGCCATAAATAATTTTGAAATACCCGAAGATTTTATTCTCATATCTCTGGATGTTACCAGCATGTACACGAACATTTCAAACGACTTGGCGTTAAAATGTGTGGATGTAGAGAATGTATGGGACGAGATAAGTGAACACTGCAGCGAACGCCGTTTGCTGATTTTTATTTTTATTTTAATTTCTTTTTAATTTTTAATTTTAGCAGTTGATAATGGTGCCGTGAGGTGCCGAAACGTCCTGCCTCAGTATTTTGTATTTCAGCCTTGTTTCCGCATTTTCCTGTGTTTTCGATTAAAGCCATACATAATTTATGTCATCATATTCATCAATATAATTGGAGATACTGTTGTGATGAGGAATTTTATTAATTTCCTGAGCACGGGAACAGGGTAGGCTAACTTGTTCTGGTTTAAATATTTAGTGGAATACTTATTAAAATTTGATACTTTTTAACCTAATACTTTTAAACCTTGTAACACCTTAATATTCGCGAATCTCGATTCACTACTTCGTTAAACTTACATTTGGCCTTGGGGAACGCTCAATGACTCTGTTGATTTCTGTGTCATCATGACTATTAATTAAATCAACGATTTCACAGAAATCGGCACGGAAGTCGTTGTCTCTGTTTTCCGCACGGATGCGATTCTGAGACGAATCACTTTTGCTTGAGTTGTGATATCGATTCGTAACAGATCCAAGATGTGTGCAGAGAATATCATCTACGAAGCGTCCAAAACTATGGTCATTCCTCTAGCACGAGGACTCTCAATCAGTCAATCCTTTCCGCCCCTGCGTACCCCCCCCCCCTGCCCTGGGGCAGGGGGATAATGTAATACTTGATTTAGAAAAAGGGGAAAACACCTGTTAGTTTCGAATTTTTTCCCGCCTAACCAAGCATAGAAAATTCAACAGCTGATACGTGATTCTGATGATTTATGAATATTTTCCTAGAACAGATGAATCTAATATTCACCTATTATAAATCTATGGAAATTGGATAACCTCCAAATTCGGTGCATGTTCATGGCGTAATCAAAATTCCAGTAAATTGATTTACAGAGTCGTTTATGTATTGTGGTTTCTGCAGAAGAAAGGTAACGTGATTTTACATGTTATATTATTAGACATATATGTTATGAAAGTGGATAATGATCAAACATTGATGGGGAAATGTTCCATCTTCGTGTAAGGGATCGTCGTTGTAAAGTAGTATGGATGTTCCTTTAATGAAAGAGATAGGATGGATGGATAGGTTTGATGGGATGATGCCCTGGGGGTGCCTTGCTGCGTGTCCGGCCCTGGTGAGGTTCCCCGTGTTCAGTCAAATTGAGCCGCAGGCTCCACTCCTAATGGTGCCCTACCGTCAATTCCTTTTAGTTCCAGTTTTGCAACCATACTTCCCTTGGAACCCGTTAACTTTGGTTTCCCGGCAGCGGCCAGCCGAATTATAACGGAGGAATCATCGGCTATACGAAGCTAGAATAGCTGCGGAAGTAAGGACCGATGGTCCTTAGTTTAAAAGGCGAACAGGGACCCCTGCTTGAGGCATTTAATTTTCAATTACCTCATAACTTGTAACCCCCGTAAATCGGAATGGTTCAGGAGAGGGGACAGGGAGGGGTCGGCGAGGGTAAAAAGAAATGTCCAATGTGAATTTTTTGATTTCTAATTTCTCGCTGCTGCGAAGCGGCTGGACCCGGTCATTACGGTGCTTCAACCGGGGCAACTGTTAGCAATGGAAGCGATATACAGGGGTGAGAACGTTTGCTTGCGGTTCCCAACGGGGTACGGAAAGACCTCCTGCTTTGACGTGCCGTTCATGATTCGGAAAGCCATAGTAATAATTGTAGTCCCACTGGTAGCCCTCTTATTAGACATGTTTACGAAGGTCCGAGGTATCATTTCATCGATCGATCTCCGGGAAGCCGATTTAACAGACTTTTACTTAGCCAACGTTGATAGAATATTAGATCAGGGTAAATCAGTTTTTTTTCTTCACAACGGGTGAGAAATTGCAATTTCACGCCACTTTCCATTATTACTGCGCGAAGAGACCGGAGCCGAAAGTAATCGTGTACGAAGAGGCCCACTCTATCCCAACTTGGGGAGTGGAATTTCGAGCAGCGCTGCTGAAAGCCCACTCCTGGGTGCGGAGTCCTAAAAATACACAAACGCTCCTTCTATCGGCAACTATATCTGATTTAGATATTCGGTTTATTGAAGGGGCCTTCAACTTTACTGTTGGCAGAGTCGTCTCAGAATTGAAGCCCCGAAATAACATTGAATATGCTACCGTCGATATCAATTCGATATCGGATTTCAAATCAATTCATTACAAGAATTCTTTCAAGTATAGATTAATTTCACGTGAGAAATATGTTTCTTTTCTAATTATATCTTGTGAGAAATTATTAAATCTCCCGTATGAATGTCTTTCCGACTAAAAATGTGCGATACGATTTCCTGGAAAATTCCAAGAATGGCAATGTCAAACGCGAAAAATTCCTTACGTTACTGAAAGCGAAAGAAAAGAAAAAACATTTCTTCGACCATGACGAGTGTATATACTTTTCACGCAGACCCCAGATGCAACCTTAATGGAAAATTTAGCTAACTTTCGAGCATACCCGTTGCATACTCAGAGATTTTGAAACTTCTCAAAGTATGTTCAACGCCGCCAGCCACGAGTGCGGGGCCCTAGCGCTTTATCCGGTCATTGAACAAGTAAAAAATCATCTCCGTTCTTAGTCCAGGCGCCTGGTAAGTGTACCTGGAATTTTGGGTACACAGCGATTTTTTTGGCTTACTGTATGTTTATTGGGTCGCTGAATCCGAATCTGAAGTTTCCTACCGCGTATCTGGTGAGCATTTTCCGCCATTTTGAAAAAATGGCCTAAAAAGGCCTTTTGGGGCGGTTTTTTCGATATAGCGGCTACGCATGAGAAAAAGTCCCAAATTTAATTAATGTTTTGAATAGCTGACAAAATTTGGAAGAAAATGGTATATAAATATGCTAGGTTTGCTCAAAAATTGAGGAACCTCGGATCTCGGAACTTTGGAGCGCTTCGGAACTTGGGTGACCGCGGCGAGCCGGATCGCGCGTTGACGGGTGCGCCGCGAAAACGTGAATGGGCGCGATGTTCACGATGCTGTATCTTCCTCAATTTTTAAGCAAACCTAGCATATGTATACACCATTTTCTTCCAAATTAAGTCAGCTATTCAAAACATTAACTAAATTCGGGACTTTTTCTCATGCGTAGCCGCTATATAAAAAAAAAAAACGCAAAAAAGGACTTTTAAGGCAATTTTTTTCAAAATGGCGGAAAACGCTCACCAGATACGCGGTAAGAAACTTCAGATTCGGATTCAGCGACCCAAAAAATATAACTTAAGCCAAAAAATCGCAGTGTACCCGAAATTCCAGGTGGCCTAATTTCTGGCTACCAGGCGCCTGGACTAACTCGGTACCTCCATGCGGGACGACAGGCTGGAAGCGCTCATGCTCATGACAGTCGAACCGGAACTTCTAATGTCAATCGAACAGTTGCAGCCGGTTGATGATTCCTCTGGCATGAAGCAGCGCCGATTCCCGCTTATTTGAAAGGTCTATTTCCTTCCTTTTTTCTATTTTGACGTCTCCCCCCCCTCCCCTCCCCAAACTTTCACAGAAACAACACTCCTGAATTGTACCCTGTCACCTGAAGAATGGGCTAGTTGCGCTGGGAACAAAATCGTGTTTTGATGCTTGATTCTTGTAGATTAGCTAAATTAAGATGATCTGTCTAAACAGCAGCTTTTTACGTTCAATATTAACCGAAATATCGTCCTTTGAAAATTCCGTTTTTCGACGACATCCACCGCGATGGTATGCACTACCGCGGTGGATGACCTCATGACTCGACTTTTCCAGGGCCCGATATCTCGGTTAATATTGATCGTAGAAAGTTGCTGTTTGGACAGATCATATTATTTTCTGTTGATCTACAAGAATAGAGCATCAAAACACGATTCTGTTACCTGACCCTTTACGATTAAAATAAACGAGAGACGGCTGAATGGATGACAGGCAGTACATTGATGATACATTCTTACCCTTCCCAACCAACAAGATACTGTTACCGGATGGAAGTTAGCAAGCAAGATCCGGATTAATTACAACGTGATCAGTGGAATGACGAGGGACCCTTGAACTCACTACCGGAGAGTGTCAAGGCTCCAAAAATTTTCACTTATTCCACGAGCACATGATTTACAAAGGGGGGAGAAAAAACGGGAAACAAGGCGAAAAACACATAACAAAACCAGAGACGTTCTGGCTCAGAATATATGTTTAGCGATATTTCCCTTTGGTACGTGTTATCATTATCATAGGCTGCTATGAGCATCCATGACAAGAATACCCGGAATGATCTCAAGATACGGCATTCATTCCTCAGGCAACTTATGAAACTATGATGAAATTAAATTACTTTGTAAACGACTGATATAGTCAGAAAAAGAGGGAAAATAAATGTTACAAAGGTAGCACAGGTGATAATGAGACGAGCGCGTTATTACCGCTGTATTATTTATCATTCCTGAAAATTTTGGTTTTGGAAGGTTTAAGAATATTTAAACCGTTTTTATTATTTAAGTCATTTTTTAGATAATTGTGATGTAACAACACGTGTACAGTAACACAAGATCAAATATCGCGTATGAGACAAACATGTCAGTTTTGGTTCTGCGTGGGTAGTCCCTCCCGAAATCCATGAATGTCCAATCCCTATGAAAACCACTCCTTTAAGGGTGGTATGGTGATTTTTCCTCTTGATGTGCGCGTGTTGTGACCGCGGCATGGCAGGTCATGACGAGCTACAAAAAACAAGTTCCTTTCTTTTTCTTCTCCTCGTAGACGTGGCCTTCGCAGCTCATATCATCCCCGACTGCCATGATTCACCCCCCATGAGTTGTCTCATTGAGTTCATCTGGCCCCAGGGCCGAAACCTTGAGCTGAATCCCTGCTTCACTAATCCTTGGTACCTGCTGTCCCCGGGGAGGAATTGGATAGGGAAAGGAAAGGAATCTTCACCTACCCGGCTCGCTGGTAGGACTTGAGGAGAGCTGGAATGAGCCATGGAACTACATTCTTGAACACCTTTGAACATCCCCATCCCCAATACTACCCCCTAGTGTATAATTCTTCAGAGGAGGAGTTGGTCAAGGAAAGGAAAGGAAAGAAAAGGAATCTTCACCTACCCGGCTCACTGGTAGGACTTGAGTGGAACTGGAATGAGCCATGGAACTACAATCCTCAAAACGTCTGAACATTCCCATCCCCCGTGCATGACTTTTGCCCACATTAATGAGCAGAGAGAAAAGGAAACGTATTCTCACGACCATGTGTCGCCGTATACTTTCCACGTGTTAGTTGAAGAATCGATTGAAATTTTCGACGGATTGCTGAATTGACGGCAAGCAGTACACTTATCATACATCCCCATCCTTCCATGTACAACATACAGTTACTGGCAGAATCCGGTTTACAAAGCATTTAACAGCAAAAAGAACGTTAAAAAGCCCATGAGCTTAGGTACGGTTGGTGAATTTTTAAGGTTCCGAAAATGTTCAGTTCAACGGTGGGAACGATACTTGAATTCTACACATATTCAACATCCAAGAGAGTCGACCGCTGAATTAGGTCAGATAATCACGGTGCATATAGTCTCTTTTGAAACTAGAGTACTTCAGCCTGTATACAAAGAAACTCTCAAGTATTTATTCGCGCTAACAGGAAGCTTATAGCTTGGTGTGAGGTACATGACTTCGAATTTGAAAAATTTATACGTGCGACGGACAGTTCTTTTCGATTCTTTCTAAGAGAAGAACCTCCAATTGTAACACAGCATCATGAACAGGCGCTTTCTATCTTCTTTTTTAACAGTAAATAATTTTACAATGACCATTATAGAATCAAATAATGTCTCTTTATATAATTTACACTTTGCTATTTGCAAAAATGTTTCATAAGGTAAGGGTAAGGTAAGGGTTTCAATGACGACGGAAGTTCGCGTGGTCACATAATCCCCGACCAAATATTGCAAAAAAAAATAATAATAAAAAAATAAAAAAAACAGCTAACAAACATATCCTTCAGGATTCACGCGTGAAAATCTCTTCTGGATGCGATGCATGTCGTCAGAAGAAAGACTAAAACTGAATGATACAAAGGTAAAAACGGTGACAATGAGACGAACACCAAAATGAAATTCGAAAAGATTAGAATAGTGACGCAACATTTCTCTTCATTTAGCAGCTTGGAGAGACGGTTGTACAAGAAATTGTACAGGTGCCTGAATAGAAAAATGTTCCGGAGGCTCTACGATAGGAGTATGATATCGTTCCGGAAATTTAAGTTTCAACAGGTTTATGAGTAAAAATGTTTGAAATAAAATAATTTTAAATGGATGAGAGAACCCTTTTTGAAAATTACCGGGGTAAAATTCATTCCGTGTTTTTAAAAAAAAAAAAAATCAAGTAACTTCTTTCAAGGGAAGATGAACACGTGATAACGATGGAAATTCACACGTGGGAAAGAAATTCGCGATAAAGAAAGAAAATTCCATTACTTACCGGTGTACAATCATAATATTGAAAAAAGTTCTTGCGTAGCATTCTTGAATTGGTTCTCCAGGATGAACGTTCACATCTTGCTGATCTCCGAAAACAAAAAAAAAAAAAAAAAAAAAAAAAAAAAAAAAAAAAAAAAAAAAAACACTCTTCCTTAAATTATAATGATCAGTATTCCTAGATAATTCTCCTAAATGATATGATGATCAATTTTTTACTTAGAATTGGCTTCGAATTTTGTTTTTGGGTCAGATCATGTTGTCACGATTTGAAAACTCTGTAAGTATTCACATCTTCGCCTAACCTTCCGAGCTTCACATTAGAAACTATGCATACGATGACGAGTGCAGTGGTCATCTCCTCAACCAAAAATTGAAGATCGCCGAACACACAATGGAAAAAGTAAGTACAATAGTTGAGTAGGTGAAGTTGGAAAAAAAAAGATGAGGTCTTCGAATACTTCCCATCTTGACAAAATGGTTAGATAATCTTGGCTGGTATCTTGAGTCAGCACAAATGAGAAAAATCGACTTCCTTTGAAAGTTTCCAGCTGTACCGAAAAAACAACCTGTTGCATTGAAAAAGCGATTACGTAGGCGAAATATGAGAAGATTGCATTTTGCAAGAGGGACCAAAAGCATTGCAATGATGCTAAGATTGTGCAACTTCATCCTACCTTTGCAATAAAATTACTGAAAACATGAGAAAAAAAGAAATCGACTTGGTAATTTTTGTCTAAAATTTACTGTTTTTAGCGAGTAAAATAGACACTGTTGATGGATAATCAGGTTTTTCTTCCAAGAAAAAGAAGTTGAACAATCTTAGCAATATTGCAATGGTCGTGGTTCCTTAGTGCAAAATGCAATCCAAGTTAAGTTATGAGAGCAAGAGCTTCCTAGAGCGATGGTACTGTTCTTGACGCAACGACTATGTTCCTCGGAGCAGCCGATTACCGGTAAGGAAAGCTTTTTCCTCGCTGTAGCTTGCCGGTTTTTCTCAGTCCATGCATCTCGTAGGAGTTCGTTCAATGCAGAGTTTTTCCTGTGAAGCTTTGAAGGGCCGAGGAATGGAGTAATTATGTGGTGATCAATATCTTCAAAAGATGTTCCTCTAGTGTAATAGAGCAGGCACGTTGTGACAAAAAATCGTACCTCGAGCCACAAAAAGTGGAGACGCAATTCGCCTTGAAAAAGGCTGAAATCCGTCTTCAGTCAAAACTTGGAAACTCTGTATGTCTCATCATGCCACTATCAGTTGGAAGACGCTAATTTCTGTCAGATACCTGTGACGGTAGCACTCTTTAACTTGAGGAAAATATTTTTGAAACTGTCGAGATTATTAAGAGTTTTATAGAATTTGAACTTCATTAACTAGGGCGCATCGCTGAAACATGTGCGAATAAATGTACAGTGTGAACAGGACCGGGCCTTTTTGTTTTAATTATGAACAGTCTCTTTATCGTGACTACGTCTTTCTATTGTTAGGTTCTTCGTCTGATTATTAATATTTATAAAAGAAGGTGAAAATTCATGACAGCTCAAATATTGAACGACAAAATTTTACATAGCAAAATAATTAGTGCGCAAAGAGTTGATTTTGAGTTGAAGACAAGTGAGAAGCGATGCTTGTACTTTCCAAAAACATTACTTGGGGAAATGGGGAAATCACAAAATGAGATGTGAAATTAACGAACTCTTTTATTGTACGTAGAAAAAACATTGCGGGGGGAAAAAGTTCATTCAGAAGGCAAAATGCCTCACAAGATGTATTACAAATTTTAAAATAAATAACAGCATATTCTTAAAGAGTATTCTGGAAGGAAACAACAAAGAACTGAAGCGAAAAACTAAAATAAAAAAAATTCAATATAAATAAATACAACCCCTCCCCCCAACCCGCCCGCCCGTATGAGTCAGTCTAAGTAATCACTGATGAGTCGAACACTATACAAAACTTAAAATTACTCTGACTTCGATAATGTACAGCTAATTAACAAAACAAAGGTATCGTATCTACATTGAAATCACTTCATAAGATCTAAAAAGAGCATTTTCCTGGGAGGAGCGCGTGAAAGAACACTTCATGATTCTCAGGAGAGGTTGTTCTGGTAGAAGAACGTTGAATGATTAAAATCCGCTCAAGAAAGCCGAGAAGGTATGATTCGAACAACATTATGAGACTCCAGCGACTAATTATTTTCGATCAAACTTGACGATAGGAATTCTTCAGGATACGCATGGAGAAAAAAGCTTCGTGCGCGGGACCCGAAGTTCAGGTAATATGGATCTCTGAAGTTTTCAGATTGAGCATCTGAACACTTTGGGTCTAGCTGTCGAGGTTCGGATCACACATCTGAAACTTCAGTTCTTACATCTGAGGTACTTCAAATGTGAGAACCGAAGTTTTTCGGATGTGAAAACCGAAGTACTTCAGATGTAAGAACTGAAGTTCCAGATGTGTGATCCAAACCTCAGCAGTCGGACCGTAAGTGTTCGGATGCTCAATCTGAAAACTTCAGAGATCCATATGACCTAAACTTTGGGTCCCACGCACGTAGTTTTTTTCTCAGTGTGGAAACGTAAATATTAACGTACTTCTACTCTCCTTTCAAGCTTAAAACGTTCAGACAGTGCAAGTCCTCGCGCTATCAAGGCTTATCACATAGAGTCGCCCTGAAAATGCTAAAGGTTGAACGGTCGGCGAGACATCTTTACCCGACACTTGAGTACGAGCAAGGTAGGGATTACATACAGCTAGGGATAAAGCTTTCACAACATTGTTTTCCTTATGCAGTTCACCAGACAACGAGATATGGGATACTTTAACTCCCACGTGACACACGAAGGGCGTTCAATATGACGTAGACACTGAAATGTACACAGGGTGATCCAAAGTCCAATCGCAGGAGGTATTTCCACGCGTCAAGATAAGACTTTTTTCTTCGATAAATTTCTTTCCGAAAGTGCTTATCAACGGGGCAGTAGTTTCGTTTACGCAGTTCTCAGACAGGAATCGTTTTTCCTGCGTTATGGCAGCGGTAGTGCGCGAAATCTTAATCTTGCGATTTTTTTTTTTAGAACTTAGTGAGTCCTATTAAAGAATCACTTTGCGAAAAAACTTCCATAAAAGAAAAAAGTGTTATTTTGACCCGTAGAACACACTGGAAAAGAAAACACATTGGATCTAGTCCAGACTCTTGAAAACATGGACAAGAAAAAGGACTCTTGATTCAATCAGATTTAAGCTTAAATCAAAAGGAAATCGGCTCAAATTGAGAGGCTTGGTTCTTGATTTAAGCTTAAATCTGATTGAATCAAGAATATTTTTTCTTGTCGATGTCTTTAAGAGTCTGGACTCTAGATCCAATGTTCTTTTCTTCCAGTGCACACTCCTACAGTCTACAGAGAATGTGTGCTACAGATCGAGTTACTTACAAGAGCTTTGACAAATACACTACATGTGTTGGCAAGAGAAAGTTACGAATATAGACAAAAAAGGTTCAGATTTGACTTTCACTCCGAACTGATAATACGTAGGTCTCTCGAACTATATGTGTGACATGTAAATAACTAATGGAAGAGCCTTAAGTACACTTTGTGCTTCTAGACTAAGTATCAACGTACGAGAAAGCAATAAAAAAATCCATGGAAGTATTTACACAATCCTTGGTAAAATACTTGGTAAGCCGTAAAAGAAGAGACTGGGTCTCCAGAAACGGAAGATTTTTAGTTGAAATACCGACTGAAAAGTTCAAGTCGTTACTTTGGAAGAATACTTCTTAAGTCGTGAGAAATTTACATGCGAGTATTCACAGATAGTGATACATTGGTGTAGAATTGGAGGGCCGGAGATCAATTTTTGACTGTAAGGCATCTTTCAAAAACCAACAAAAATAAAACGAAGGGGGAAATCCATAACCATCAATATTCACACGAAGCCCTTGTAGATGCATCGACAAGCGTTGTTAAAATAGCATCATCTTCGTTCAAAACGGTGGTAGGGGCGACTAGATCGCAATTAGAATCACTCAATAGACTGATTCAGTGACAACGTAAATTCTATTGCAGGAAACACTTGCACGCATTTCACCACCATAGCGCGAGGAGCGCGAATCAAGAGACAAGGTTGTGTGTTCGACTACAACTAAACCATGACGTAGTCACTAAATAAGTCTATAGTGATCCATCACTGAGATCTGTAGTGATAGGTGAATAAGGGGTTGCCGGATCCCTCATCATAACTTGACATCATTTTGCAATTAGGAAAAACTAGTACCGGCTTATTATGGTGACAACGAACGTACCGCTAGTTTCCCTGTGAATTTAGGTTCTTCTACGGGTTAGCTAGAAATAGTGGTTACCAATTGCAAAATAAAGTCCAACCGCTACCTTTAAGAGGAGAATCGAGCATGAGCCACGTCAGAGCCGTTGAACACTTTTCAGCTGCTGGTATTTAGGAAACCAGTGGGCTGATTATTGGAATGGGCCTGTTGCAAACTTTTGCTAGAGCAAAACTAAGAGTTGTTTCTTATAGATAATGCCTCAAAAATCACGATGAGCGCATCGGCAAACTCTGAAATGCACTCATAACTTCACAAACTGCGTAAGAAATTTGCGGTTTTTTGAGCTTCCCGCTTCAAAAACGATACTACGGCACAGGTGAACATTTTGTAAGAGGAGTCGTTCCATTGTCGGCAATAATCATCATAGCCGACGCCAATCCGCCAAAACACGTTTGATGGGACGAGATAACACCTGAACTGGATTAGACCAGATAACAATCGGTGTGTTAACGTTCATATTTTCCACGCCCGAATTGATTGACCTTGAACTCTCCTTGAATTACGCGCGGAACTGCGTGCAAGCGTCGGCCATGATGAATATCGCCGACGATGGAGCGACTCCTCTAACAAAATGTTCACCTATGCCGTAGTATCGTTTTTGAAGCGGGAAGCTTAAAAAAACGCAAATTTCTTACGCAGATTGTGAAGTTATGAGTGCATTTCAGACTTTGCCGATGCGCTCATCGTGATTTTTGAGGCATTATCTATAAGAAACAGCTCTTATTTTTGCTCTAGCAAAAGTTTGCAACAGGCCCATTGATGGACAAGGCTATAGACTAAGAGGACAAAGGAGCGATTCTCTTGGTCGAAATAGGCTAAGAAAAAAAATGATGGAGCAACCTAAGTGTCTCTCGTGGGTTGCCGTTCGTTAGTCTATTAACTACCTTCTTTGTCCATTGCAACCACCAGCTTCCACCAATAGGACCCCTCCACATCCCTTTTATCTTCTACGTCTACACCTTCGTCCATAAATTTCAATAGTGGAAAAACAAGGATGAAAAAACGGGAAACAAGGCTAAAAATACACAATTAATGAAACCCGAGACGTTTCGACTCAAAACTGAGTCATTTTCAGTCGGGAACAATAAAAATTTAAAAGAAAAACGATAAAAAAACCTGAGCCCTACGTGGTGGTGGCCGGGATCTGAGAGAAAGAGGGCCACTATGTAGGGCTCAGGTTTTTTTTTATCGTTTTTCTTTTAAATTCTTATTGTTTCCGACTGAAAATGACTCAGTTTTGAGTCGAAACGTCTCGGATTTCATTAATCGTGTATTTTTAGCATTGCTTCCCGTTTTTTCATCCTTGTTTTTCCACTGTTATCATTGTCTTGGGCTGCTCTTAAAAATTTGTATCTAAAAATTTCAATAGTCACCCCACAGGTCATGCCGTGCGGAACTAACGCTCGACTAAGAGAGAAACAGTGAAGGCGCTTACGGCAACTACCCAGGACATCGAAAGGAACTCATTGGAGAAGGAATCCACGTTGGAAGTATTATTTGTTGCGGAAGCCGGAGACTAGCTATCACAGATTTCCTCATACCTATGCCTCATCATCTTCTTGACACAGTCTTTGTAGGTTTCGCCGGGTGCGCGGGTGATTCCCGTCGCCCGGGATCCCAGCCCGGCCGTCGCGACGCGCTGCTCGGCTTCGATGATGGTGGTCCGGCCTTGGTTCTTCTTGCCGAGACCCATTCCCTCCTGCCAGCCCATTTTCTGGAGGAGCTTATTACCCAAGTTATCGGAGCCGATCCCGGCTCTCGTTGGTTCTTCGTAGCTGACGGTCGCTTCTTTGGCTTTGAGGAAGGCTTCCTTGTAGCGGTTGGGCCTGGGCTCGTCCGGCTCGCCGTACTTCTGCCGCCGCTCCTTAGCGCGATCCCTGTACTGGACGTTCCTCTTCTGGATATCGTCCGGGTCCAATCCTCTGTCATCGTACCACTTCCGAAGGTTCTGCTTGTGCAAGTCTGACAGAGACTGGTGCTTCAGCAACACGTCTTTACTGGGGAACTGACGCTTGCACAACAAGCAAGCCAGTTTCACCCAGTCGGTGTGTTGCTTGTCTTCGTTGGCCGTGTTCTCGGCAGTCTCGTCTTCGCTGTCGCTGCCTTGGCCGTAGTTGGCGACGAGGCTTTCGGTTTTGCTCAGGAAGGGTGCGGGGTCAGGATCTACGTACAGCGCGGACTGGGTGGGCTCCTTCCGCTCGAGAACCGAGAAGCCGATGTCTGCAGAGCCCTGAGCCTTCGTGTTAGACGCGGCGGCTTGCGCGGCGACGAGATTCTGCTTGGCGATTTCCTTCTTGTGGTTCAGGGTCTTGGCCCACTTCTCCATGTCTTTCGCGATCCTTTTCGCTACTTTGACCTTATCGTCCTTTTCGGGCTTTTCCTTCTTCTCGGCGTCGGACGCCGGAGCAGCGAGGGCCATTCCTGCGGCTCCGCCGTTGGCTGCACCGCCGACGGATGGGACCGTGCTGGAAGTTGGTGCGGGAAGATAAGTATTGCGCGTACCGTCCCAGTACAAGAACTTGGCCAACTTGGAATTATAATAATACTGCGAATTCGCATCGTAGTACAGAGTTGTGTAAGGGTCGTAATAGTAACCGGACGTCTTGTCGTACTGGTACGTGCTCACGTCCGGGATCGGATACGCATGCTCGCCAGAACCGGTCGGAGCTTCGACCAGAGGCGTAGCCGCGGCGGTTTTAGTACCGTCGTCTTGAGGAGTGGCAACATTGGAAGAACCCGTGGTCGGTAGCGAAATCATTTCACCATTGGAGATTTGCTTCGAGTAATACTGTAAGTAATAGGTTAAATAGGTCGCCTTTTCCTCGGGGGTCTTGGCGTATAAATTCGCGCTGTACTCCGCCAACCGGTTCACGTCTTCCAAGGTATATTGATTGCCCTCGGTCTTCTGATGGCTCCACTGCGCCGCTGCGATGGCGGCGTTGGCGGCATTGGAAGGTACCGTCGAACTACTTTGTACAGGGGTTAATTTACAGTAGGAGATATCTACAGCCCGGTTGTTGACGTACAGTGTGTCCATCAGCAAACAATTATGCAAATACATAGCATCGACGACGTTGTTCATTTCCAAGTAGCACACTCCTCGCGACATACCCGTGACGGGGTCCTTGCCGATACGCACGCTCCTAATCGGCAAGTTGGACAGTTTTTCAATCGACCTAAGGACGTTTTCCTCGGTCGTTTTCAAGTCGAGATTCCTCAAAAGCACCGTGCTGGTGGGGTGCGTGCTGATTTCGTCGAGGAGATCATCGCTTCCGCCTGACGATCGCGGGGTACCGCACTTGTAACAGTAGTCCCTCCGCTTGAAGTTGCGAGCGTTGCACTTGCAGAACCAATCGGCCCCGCCGTCGGGCTCGTTGGGTACGAAGATGCTGTACTGCATAACCGCCCGGTACAAGTCCTTGATCATGAGCTCGCCTCGCTTCCACTCGATCAAGGACTGGGCCTCCCGGGTCGTGAAGAACTCGACGAAAGCGAAGCCTCTGGAGGCCCCGGTGTCTTTCTTCCTGATGAGGCGAACGTCCTTGGGGACGAGCTGGTTCTTGAGGATCTCGTTGCGGATGTCGTCCTCGGTAACGTGCTGCACCAGGCCTCGGATGATGAGCGTCCTGTTCGGCGTCTGCTTCTTGTACGAGAACCGGTCGTACTCGAGCAGCTCGTAGTCGTAGTTGGTGTCGTCCTGCCACTCGCCGCGCTTGCTGTAGCTCGAGCTGGAGCTGTCGCGTCGATCCGAGTCCCGGAGCCGATCCTTGTCGCTGCGATGCCGACCGCCGCGAGAGTCTTCGTCCCACGAGCGGTCTTCGTCGTAGCGACTCGAGTCGCGACTCTTGCTTCGGGAGGAATGCCGACTGCTCCGATCCTCCTTGGGCGAGTCGCGCCGCGATTTCGGTGAATAAAAATCATCCCTCTTACCTTTTCTCTCGTCGCCTCTACCGCGCTCCCAGGACCTGTCCCTGGGGCTGCGACTCCTGTCCCTCCGCCGTTCGTCGCCGCGGCGCTCTTGGTCGAGAAATATCTCGACCGACCGCTTCCACGTTTCGCGGTCCTCCGGGGGGGATCGCCTCGAGCCTCGATCCCTCCGCTCGTGCCGGGAGTAGCTCCGTGAGTAGTCGCCTTCTGGGTGGGCCATCCCTCTCGTGCGGACTAAATAGCTTTACAACGGAAAAGAATCAACGTCACATTAGTGGGTTGCAAAATGAGGGTGACAACATTGGTGAGCACAAGGACCATCGACCATAGAACAACTTAACATTAACAAGGTATGGAAGACATGCTGAGATAGAAAGCGACTTTCGCTTTCGGCATCGTTACCGAGCTCGTCGATTGACCTCTTCCTCGTCGGAGCCGAGAATCGAATGCGCCGTCGACTCCTCGGTTGTGACGTCTTACCATTCTTTGCCCGTAAAAGTAGATTACAGCATATGCTTAAAAGGGGACCCAACGATGAGATAAATTACTGCGTCGAGTTTTTTTTTCAAGAAATGACCTCCTCATATCAAGATCCATAACTTCAAGAATACAATCGAAAAATATTGTATATACGTGTTTGTTTACATAGCTTTCTCCGAGGAGGTGTGGGNGGGGGGGGGGGGGTTGAGTTTGGAAGAGTGCATGCTCCGTCATATTTAAGCCCTCGGCAGTCACTGGTAGAAAAACCTCTTGGTTCCAGAGTGCAATTTCTCGTCGCCGAATTTGAGTGTGGACTCTTGTTTCAATGCAAAATATGCTTGAATCAATGCAAAATCCGCTTGAAACAAGAGTTCAAGACTCTTAAATCCGGCGGCAAGAAACTGCACTGTTAAGTCAATGCAATGCGGCATTGGTCCAGGAGATTTTTGTTACCAGTGCACTGAGATAACGGTGTGCACACAAAAATATGAAATCCGCAGCTAATTCAGTAAACCATTAATGAATGGTCCTCAATAAAATGGGGCAGGTCGTTGATGGCACTTCTCTTCAGAGCCTGGGTTCTTCCTTACTCATCAAGGAGCAGCCAATCCTCAATTGTTTTAAATAACTCAATCGATGTCTAGTCGGTTGTCTGGTGAAGCCGATCTGATATGATTGATGATTGGAACGTCTTCGGGGAGAGGTACTCGGCATGATTTTAATGTTAGATGGTTCCTATCAAATTCGCTTTTCAACGCCAAAATCTCACTCCTTGTCTCAAAGCAACCTTCGAATTTAATTAAAGAGCTTCTCTTTGGTGCGGTGGCGACTTAAAGTTTTCAGACATGAAAAGAGGGCACGGAGTTCGGCACTAGCTCCATGCAGGACTTGTTAATGTAAAATAATTGCACTTTTTCTGTAGGAGAATAAAAAAAAGGAAAACCTTTAAAGTCTTAACTTTTGTGTTCCTGAAAACTGAGGAATGAAGAATTGCAGGGAATCAGTCAAACCATGTGACCTCATTTGCTACGCCTAATACTAAGAACATTTATTTCGCTTGTGGGAAAGAGAAATCCGCCTCAATGCTGCTGATAGTTTGACAATATGTCAAAATTATTAGTATCTGAGCTTTAGCAGAAATGCTTCCCAACACGAAAAAGACTAATTAGCGCTGAGCCCTGAGACTTTAGGTAAAATAGTGCCAAAATAAAGACAGTAGTGCTGAGCTTTCTTAGGGTTCGGCCCCACTGCCTGTAGTTGGCACTATTTTACCGGAAGTGTCGGGGTTTGGCGCTAATTGTTTTTCGGATTCTTTTCTTTGCTGTGAGGATATTACGTAGTCGATATCTGTTACAATATCATATTCGTGTTATAATTCGTTAATAATTCGGGTTTCTTGCTTTTCAATTTTCAACTAATTTTCAGGAAAAAATTAGTTCCTCCTGACTTATTGTCAGGACAAAATTAGTTAATCTTAAAATTTGGGAAACTTGATATTCGTATAAGAAAATATAAACTACATCCAAACCGCAACCAGCGTTTGGCTTTAGGCTATACTTGTACATTGCAGGAGAAAATGTTTAAATGGGGAACGATAAATGGTTGAGAGCTTTATTTTTGCGGCAATCATAGAAATTAGGATTCACGTTCGAGATAATTCAAATGCCCTCGTTCTTCTCTCTTTACTTAGATCAGAATTTCCACAAAGGGCTCATACGCTTTGACGGCCTCGAGAAGAAGAAAAATAGAGATCATTGAAATTACCAATTTCTTCTCCCTTTACTGAAATAAGAAATTCCTACATAGAAATCATACGCTTTGAATGCCTAAGAAATCTTAATCCCTCATAATTGCGGTGTCTGTTTTCCTAACAACTAAAGCCATAGTTAAACCAGAGTAGAAGAAAGAAAGAGTAAATAAAATACAATTTTAAAAAAAAAGATGACTGCGCAATGAACGAGACTTCTCCGTTCAACTTGGTGTATTCACGTTCAAATCAATGTGCATAAAATATTGGTCACTGCGACTTGGATGCCAAAATGTAAATCAGGCCTCTTGAAATTTAAATCACGGTTGAATAACCGTCGCATGGACATAGAGATGGTGAATTTTGCAGATTCGTTGAATTCAAAGAGAGACTGAAAATTTCGTGATAGGGAGAGAGAAAAAAAACTCGTTGCAACAGATGCTTCCAATGGCAAATAGAAAAAGGGATATCAGATAAAATTAGCCATGGACTTAAAATAACGTTATATTATTTATTATCAACTAGAAATTTCAATTTCGGGGACAGAAAACTTGGCGAAAAGATGAAGAGTTTCTGCTTTAATCGCAAAGAAGGAGATCAGGGCTAAGATGTAAATGTAAATTAAGACATTCCTTTAACCAAATGTGCGACTCCAAACGCGATTTTTAAAGCTAGAAAACGGTGGGCCGTTGAAACGTGTCAAATATTCAGGAATTGTTAATGAAAGTAAATAAAAATATTTAAAAAAAAAAAAAAAAAAAAAAAAAAAACGGTGTAACAAACTGCAGATTTGCTGCGTTATAGTTCACTTAGAAAAGGTAATATTTTGAAAATTTGTTGAACAATTTTAATGGTTAGAGCCAGTGCGAATTTCAAATCTCGGAAAAGTATTAGGCTTTTGTGGGACGAGAATCTGGTGAGCGATGTACGAATCCGAACAAAACAAAATAATCAGGGATTCGCTTAAAGTTCAAAATTGGTAAATTTCGAAACATCAAAATACCAGATCTAGTTCTCGGAGCAGTAGAGATTCGGATACTAAAATTTTGACTTCCTCCCTTTTCTCTCCCTGATCAAGATCCGAACACTCCGAAGAGAAGAAAAACTTCGACGCACAACAGTCTGTAAAGTCTGTCAGAAAAAAGTCTGTAAACTTCCGTGTCTCCCACAAATCGAGCTCTCGAGTGATAGCTTCCGGAGAAGAACTTGGAGGATGGCTGCGGAGAGACGAGGATCCGAACACTACCGAGCGTCCATCATCACTTACGAAACAATCGTGAAACAAGCGCGGGAATAACGTTAATCATTGCTGTTATTACACTCCCGATAACTGTCACTCAGTACAATTACATGGAACTCAATGTTCAATGTTCCACGAGATAATTTAATGTTCCATGTTCCACGAGATAATTTAATGTTCAATGTTCTGAGCGCGAGGCGACGGATCGGCGATGAGTCCATGGTGTCGATCGGGGCTGAAAAGAGACACGTTAGATGATCGGTTGGTTTGGCTGAGCGAACTCACCTGTAGCTGTGATGCCGTGGCTAAAATGGGCTGCAAGCAACAAATACGATTTATCGGACTTTAATCTTCCGTGCTGTAACGCTCACGTCACCTGGAAAAAATCAAAAGCCTCCCAATATTAAACACATGGCAGGTTCGACAGAAACGTTCATCAATTTTCCGGAGAGATCACTCTTCGGCGGAACACGGATGACTCGACAGGGACGAGCAAGGGCGCGCTCGAAGTCGTGAGGGGTCACGTCGCAAAACATTTGGAAGACCCGTCCTGATCGCGCGGCGCTCGGTGTCATCACGAATGTCGTCGAGCCACTGCTAGGTCTAAAAACAATTTTAAAAACGCTTCTCAGGGTGCCTGCTAAACCAGGCTGGCCAAAAATCAGTACTCATACGGTACTTTTTCAATGCATTCTCAAGGAATTCGGTACCTCCTTGACAGGAAAATGCAGTACTTTTTCAGTACCTCCACTTGAAGAAATCAAAGAAATCTCGAAAATTTGAAATCCTCGTTCGAATTGCGAAAAAAGTAGGGAGAAAATATGAATGAGAGAGTGAATGGGGCGCGAAAGGTAACATGTTCAGTAAATAAACTAAAAACTTATGTTTTAAAAATGGACCACTAGACAAGGTACGAATTTAAGCATTCTGATACATGTTACTTAACCAGAATTTCACGTACAGCACGATCCGCGCAACGAAAAGTAATAAAACGAACTCCAAACGAAGATATTAACGTTTTTATTTCACATAGGTTACGAGGAATTTGAATTGCCCGCTGACAAGAAACTCAAAGCTCTACGTGAGTCAAATTGCACACTACAACGGTTTCAACAAGCTTCTCAATCGAGTAATGAGCATGTGTGTTGTTAAAACTATAAGCAATTTGCAACAGCTGAGCCAAAGGGTCAAGATTGAGGTTGCCAGATTATAATATCGCAGAAACTGTCATGATAACGTTTAGCGCACGATGTGAATCACGGAGAGCATTGAGTTATCATGAGCGGGTGGTTTGAATTCACGCATCAAGAATCATCAAATATCTTTGGAAGGAGTTGATTTCGGTAATTTTCGTTGTGCGCGACGTATTATACGTGAAATTTTGTTTAGAAACACGAATCAGAATGCTAAAATTCGTACCTTGTCTAGTGGTCTATTCTAAAAAAAGACAGATAATTTTATGATTCCTATTTTTTAGATAAGGATTTCATTAGCCAACGTTGTTCTGTATATTTAAAGAAATTAATTCAGTTAATTTAAATCATGTAAATAGATACAAGAGATATTCTTATAGTAGTTGCGTCTTCAAAAAAAAATTTCCCAGGAAAACTCCCTTTCTCCGGAGAAAATTCTCGTCGGCGGAAAACATGTTCTTGTTAAGAAAAATCCAATCGTACATGCAGATCAGCAGCTAAATATAAATAAACGGGCAGCTGTGGCACGACTATAGCTTTTCCCGATGAGAAAATTTCCTCGCAATAGAGCACCACCCCCCCCCGACCCCCCGTTGTACCCGATGTGAATCTTAGCCGCCCAACTGGTATCTGAGAGAGTAATTAATACTAATAGTTATTAATCCTCCTAAGGATGTAACATGGAAAAAAAAACAACGCTGACTGCACTTAAGTAGTTCAATAGGGCAAGTGCCGTTGAACCATGCAACATACTGTATTGCCGTATGTAGCATTATGAGAAGTCCGTCCATGAGCCCAAGTTCGAAACATACGCATCATATTTGAGCTGGATGTTTCAGAAAGGGTTCTATGATATAATTATTGCCAATTTTCGAAGAACAAAAAATTAAAAAACTGAAGAAAGTGTTTTTAAAAAAATTGAGTTGTTTGTAAAAAATTACATAATTGAAACTTCAAGGAAAAAGTAGAGATACCGTTAACTATGAAAGAAAAGAAGAAAAAAAAATCTGGAAAGAGAAACTCCATCAGCTGCCATGAGAATAATAGTGAAAATCAGTTGCGCGCAGATGATGAAGAAAAGATCATTCCGAAAATCACTTGGCTTCATGTGTCTTGAAACAGCATGAAGTAATCAATTTCCTTGCCAAGGAGTGAAAAAATAAAAACAGAATAAGTGATCCTATTCACAGCTAGTAAATAAAGAGGTGTAATTCTTGATACATTTGCGTCGTTATCTGTTGTAGGTACATTGAGGCTCAAATCTTGCAACTGCACAATGCTCTAATACCGTGAAACGACCTATGAACATTTCATTCCTCCGATAAAATGTATTTGACAAAAAGTTGTCAATATTTTTCCACTGAATTATTCGAAAATTGCATTCAATTAATAAATAATAATTTAAATTCAATAAATAAATAAGGCAAAATTCAATAGATTGAGTGTAAATAATTAAAGCAAATGAGCCAATGGGCAAGATCAGACCTAAGAAAAATTTTACTCTTTAAAATCTTGTACAGAAAATAATTCACGTCACAGGAAGTTAGGAGATCAACTCCTGAATGAAATATTAACAAGTATGATTAACAGAGATCAAATGAAGGTATTGTAAATAATGACATCATTCACGATTTATCCTCCTTTATTCTTTATTCATCACTATTTATCCAATGCGAAGTGTAAACACTTTAATACTTTATTCAGGAGTTGATATTCAGACTACCTGTTGAGCGATTAATTTTTTTTTTTTTTTGGTGAAATTTAGAAGAGAAAATATGATGCACAGTGATTAAATTCATCCCTTGTAAAGAGGCCAATTAAGAAAACAAAAAACAAAAGATCTGATGTTTCTAAGAAGTACTGGCTTCAACAGTAATTTCAGGGAAATGATGATTCATTCTTCTGAAAGTCTTGTGGTTAAATGTAAAACTAAGGAAAATTACTCCAATACAATGTTTCCTACTCAATACTACTACTGAGAAATAATTTTGTACACCTAAATAAGGTGACCTTCACTTTGCTTTTGCTTAAGATTTTATGGGCGCGATGCATACTTTCCATCCGCACTGCACATAGGACTTTCGTCTCTTTTTGCTGCCATTTAGCAAACGGCTTAACTTTAGTATAATCCTGAAAAATTCCACCCTGACGCGATACTAAATCCTGACTCCAAACTCAGCTATTACCTTATTGATATGACGGTTAAAATTAATGCTGATAATTAAAAGTAGTGGCAGCAAAATTTCAGAATGTATCAGACTGAAAACAAGCTTGGAAAGTTCCAAAGGTAAGGCCTAGGAATTGATCAAAACAATTCGCTTACAGTGCTTAGTAAGCGCCCGAGAGGTAACTGCTATCGATGGATCAATTACTCAGGATTTGCCTGAATGAAGTCATTGTAATTCCACCTAAGCTTACTCTTATCCCCTGTGAATTAATGATGCTTCAGAGCTCAGTATTTTCAGTGCTGATGTCAATTAGAAGAAGAAACTACTACCTACAATCCTTGAGTTTGCACTTTCAGTTAGACTTTCCAGAATTTTTTTCTAGATCGAGTTGGCAGGAGGCTGGACCACTTTCCACAATATCTTCACAAAAATCAAAACACCGCTTAGAGAAACTTTTTCCGAGTTGCAGCAGATTCATTTTAAAATGCACCATTTCAATTAATTTCATAGGAAGATTCACGAGGAAGAAACACCCTGCTGATATGTACTACAGAAATAAGATGGTTACATTATCAGCTAGCATTGAAGGCTGCGAACGCCTTCAAAAATTTAATGTTTCCATGGGGAGGATCACCATAAACATAAGTGGCCACAACTTTTCAAGGAGCTGGCATATACTGTATGAAGAGTTCGGGCACTGATTTCATGGGAATCAGGGGGAATTCTGAGGAACTTAAATACTGACAAATAAAGCCGGACCCTCAAAAAACCTGCTTATCAATGTAATTGTTCTCAGTAGTGCAAGTGAATTCTTACACTGAAGCTGACTGTTGTAACTGTGGGGTAAAATGTTAGCAGTCATCCCTAATTTTATAGGGCAGATTTAAAGTTGAAATGAAGAGTAGGATTGCTGCTTCAAGAGGTTGTGAAGGGTTGAGCTTTGGTGTCTTGGTTGAATGGTTAGTTAAGTTTTTAAGGACACTCCTGTTTGAAGCGCATTTTGAACACGGTCCAGTGAATTTGAAAACTACGTAAGCCTGGGAGCACGATCTTAAAATTTCGCAACATTTCAGCAAAAGAAGATCAATCCCGACATGGGCTGTATGCCTGGAGCACTGAGACTTCAATGGTTAACATGTCTCTCTCCTAAAAACTTGACGAGGGATTATTTGTGATCAGTCTACTTAACAGCAGAGTGATTTACACCAACTAAGGCTCCGCTGTGCTAAACCCTGATGCCTTAATTACTTCCACGTCTTCCGTGGCATTTTTCAAGAATAGGCACACATGATCTCACTTTTCAATCACTTGATAATTAATACTTCACTGCAACACGGAGCTTGCAGCAAGTAAGTTGTGAGATGCAACAAAGAAGTAATACCTTACACAAAAACTACATTAATATGCAGCATTAGAAAGTTGCTGACTCAGACTACCTCAAGCTGTTCATGATGGAAGTAAACTGCAACACAAATTGCCTTATAATTTTGAAACACTATGAGGTATTCACTTCAAAAAACTAATCAGAACAACTAGTTGGGCTCATAGTTTGTTTAGATTCAGTTTCTGAAAAGGGGGCACGCGGGGCAGTGTCATGGCAACACTGTTATGGAACAACCGTAACACGCTCAGAAAACAATTCAACAGAAGTGTAACACTTGTTAACTGAATTACTAACCGCACTCCTTGCTTCTATACTCTCATTGGTTGCATATAAGTGCCGCAAAAACCACAAAATCTTAAGCAAAGAGCATTGGTTGCGCTGAGAAAAATACACCTCAGCCTAACTTGCCGATCCAACTCGGACGAGATTAGCTTTGTTTACCAACGCACCCACACCGTTACAGAGAGTCGCCTAATAAGGATGGCGCATGATCAGAACAAGCCCCCCCCCTGTAGAAATTGAACGGACAGAAGTCATGGAGAGAATACAACGCATAGTAGCAGTGTAGTTAACTCCTGATATCTTCAAGACTAAGAAATGCGCATCGGCCTTATGGCAAGAATAAAATTCTAGAAACTGGCCGAATGCATTGAAAACTCAACTTCTACATCCTGCTCATTAGACCTGCCTGCTTGAAGTAGGGCAGGGCATTCCTTGACTAGCCACCAACAGCTACATTGTCTCTCTGATGGTGGGTATGCGGCAGATACAGCTCATGGTTAAAGTGCTACGTCCAGTTACGAAACAAACTACAAGATGGGCTCCAATGATAATTAAAGAGCACTGACTGCTAGATTAGGTATATATCAAATCACACGTGAGAAGAAGTCAAAGAGGTAAACTTAAAAGTTCGATACAAAACTTTCTGGAAACCTTGCTACAGGTTCAGACTTGTTCGATGCAGCCACATGGCTTCATCAAGATTGACAATATCATTCAATACATGCGACGTTCCACCTCGCAAATTATATCTCTAGATTACTAGAAAGAGCAATGTTTAACTTGCAACAAACAAATTCGACAGGTACCTTCCAGTAAATTGTAATTTCCACTATTGGGGGTTCAAGAATCGGGAAGATGGACCAAGTTCGTTCTCAGCAGCACGGGACAAAAGCATGAAACAAGACTTCCACTTACCCATCCGATGATATTTATCGTAGCAGAACATGAGGAAGACTTTCTGGCACACAATAAGACTAATTTAAGCTTAATAAGATGAGAAAATTGTGTCTTTATCCGCAATTTGAAGCGACGTAATTCCTTTCACAAAAACACATCCGCCATTTTGATCAATTCTCTTTCGGCCGACGCTCACAGCGGCGCGCGCGAAGACAAAAGGAGGGAAGAGTTCATTTTGCAGACATGCGTCTCCTGAAGCTACCTGCCCGATTGGTCCTAATTTCAGCCACCTTTAGTCATAATCATTATTGAAATTAATTTCCAGCGGTTTCCGCCGATCTAGTTCAGTGAAATTTTGTTTCAAGGAGATATAGGATGCGTAATAATAAAATTCAAGAGCCATCTAAACTTAATGTGCTGAGTGAGACGAATCTCTGCCGATCGTAAAATCCCCGCAGAGGCCGCGCAAAGTTCGTGACGTCACTTCTCCGCGATGGGAGGGGTAGGGGATCATTTAAAGCTCTGGATGGAATGGAAAGAACATACAGGGTGTCTCACACAGCTTGTTCCAGGTTGTTTTTTCGGTCGTCAAGATCACACGAAGTCGATTATTGCGGGGCTGAATAGGCAATTGACCCCAAAGAGTCCGAATTTAATGGTCCCGATGCCCCCTCCCCCCCTCCTGTCATCCTTATCACCCCTTACAGGGTAAAGGGTGGTCACGGTCCTTATAGTTGGGGTTCTTGACCGAATCGTGATTCAATAGCATTAGAATTGAGAAGTACGGAACATTACATTAAGTTTGAATCGCTAGTAATTTAAAATCGGCCCAAAAATGACCCCCTGATGAAAGCACTGCGTCCCCTGCCCCCTCCCTCAAGACTCTCCGAAAAAGCATGATATTCCGGGTTTTAGTAATTACTAGGATCCTTGATCCACCAGTTAGACTTAAGTTATGTAAATAGATGTTCAAGTAAAATTTCCTAATACTGTAAAGTAGGAGAAATGAAATAAAGATAAAAAAAAAAGAAAAAAAAAAAAATTCCGCGTAATCGATTTCAAAGAATCCGACTTTCATGGTCCCGGAGCCCTCTAGCTTCCCTTGGAAGTTAGCTCTCCTTTCCGAATCAGGGTGAGGAAAACTCATAGTGAAATTTTCCGTAATTTTCAATTCTAATGCAATTGAATCGAAATTCGGTCGGGGGCCCCGACTTTAAAAAACCCTCCGAGGGGTGGAGGGGGGGGGTTCGGCACCATGAAATTCGGATTCTTAGGGATCGATTCTCTACCCAGCCCCGCGGTCCCTGACTAATTGTAAGTATCAGGGTCGGACTGGCTCGCATCTAAGGGCGTAGACCCTTGGCTGGTTAAAGGGGCGTAATGTGATATTTCCTAGTAGGGCATTCCCTACGTGGAGAGGGGTTCAGAAAATTTTGGCAAATCAGCACAAGTTTACGCTATTTTCAAGTTCAAAGTTTATTGTTCGCACGGAGTAAAAATTGCAAAATTGAAAGTAAAGCACAGCATTGAGAGCTCACAGTTCGTGTCATCGCGCCTTCAATTTTTCAGATGCAGCACGGACGTCCATCAAGTACGAATAGTTGTATCTCTGCGCCGTCGTTAACGCGCATCCTTTCCCTCGCTCTATTACCATATTGTGTTTGTGAGCGTTTGTCTTATTTGTAATGTCGCTTCAAACTAGAGCAGAGCATTGCGAGTTCATGACTCACGGCATTGCGTCTTACTTTTTTCATGTGCAATGTGGACATCCTTCTTGCGCGAATAGTTGTATCGCGTTTACATTTTAGATGTCTCTTACTTTTGAATTTCGAGATACATTAAGGTTAAGTTTGCCCAAGCTATGCTATGGTATGTCCAAATCAACAGTAATTTGAAAAGGAGGAAATATGTTTAAAGATCTCTTAAGAGGTCTAACTCTCTCCTCTTCCGTTCATTTAAGAAATTTTTTCTCACATATTCTCGGTCGTAATTTTTTTTTCTTCTTATTTTGCTATCTGTAAGAGGGGCGCGTTTTCGGCGCGGAAAGGGGGCGTATCTGCCAATGGCAGATTGGCCTTATGGCCAGTCCGAGCCTGCTAAGTATGGTATTAAACAACCAAGAAAAAAGCCCGGTGCGGGCTGTTTTGAACACCCTGTACATACTTTAAAAATTCATTTAAGAGTTTTTCTCTCCTGTTTAGCTATAAAGAGTTGGTGTTGAGGTAGCGAGCCCCATTTCAGTCATCTTCGTAGAATATCCCTGGATATATCACGGCTCCCTAAGGATGCGGAGGGAGGGGGGATCAGAGCCACCCCCCCCCCCTCAATTGAAAAACATCGAATAACGCTGAATTAACGTGAGAGGTTCCAGAACAGATTTTACCAGAAGTAATCGGTTTTGTGATATCCGAATTTCATTGCCTAATCTCGGTCCCTCCACTCTCCTAAGGGGTTTCCAGATCAGGATGAAAAATCTTCATCAAAAATAAAATCGTAAAATTTCACATGAAATACTCTATGGATCTGAGAAACATGTATGAAAGATATATCTACAATTGTGGATGATTAGCTCATGTTTAACAATTTTGAAAATTCTGTCAACATTCTTTAAGAGGCAGTAAAGAGCTTGCAACGTCGCAAATTGAAGTGTGCACCGTCGATGATGCGGAAATATGTAACCGCGCATGCGCTATTGAGTGCAATTTCAGCGGCTATCTTCATCTCCTGTCATCAAGGCGAAACGATACTGTTTAAGGCGCTGTGAGCAACTATTCCGCCGCTGAAGTGTTGCACGGTATCAGATGAAAATGAAGGCGCAACAACGTATGTAAGTTGACCGGTGTTGTTTACTACAGTGCAGAGTCCTACTAATCCTACGATATGCGGCTCCTGTTCGATCGATAATTGTGATACTTGGTACCAGGTGGCATTTTTCGACTGGAAATTTTAATTTCAACTCAAATTTTCGAAATTCCAAAATCCAGGATGATGGGTGTGGCCTGAAATGCTATCTTGGTTCGTAATCGATTGATCTCTGTGAAACTTGGCAAATACACAGGTTTTGTTAATTTCTTTAGAGTCCAGCAATATTTTTTTTAATCTACCCCTCCGTACCCTTCCCTCCTAATTCTTGGTCCCACTGATGCGGAATGGCATCATCCAACGGTAGTCAATTCAATAGAATGAAAACACAATTTAACAGTCATTAGCTGGAATTATTTGGTTTATGATGGGCCACAAATTGGAATGCATTTTGCAATCAGGATCTAACATTTCTGATTTATCCATAAAAGCACCTGCATGTGTAGGGTAACTATCGCACTTACGTCGTTTTTTAAGTGAGTCCGATGATATTAGTTCCCTAGGACAAAATGAGGTCCAGCTTGAATTAACATACCACGAAATCAGTGGGATCAGGCAATCAGAAAACTGGGGATGGTAATATCCGACCGCATCTAACGATAGGGTGGACAGAAAAATTCAGGTCCTCTTACACTCTCTGAATTTGAGAGAGCTACATAGTTTCCCTCATAATTGGAAATTCCAGTCACTCAATTTTGTTCATAAAACTTACTCGTAATTTTCTATTTTAGCATTAGCACACGGTAATGTATACCTAGTCGAACTACTTGAATCAAGTTCCACCCATAAAACATGTAACGCTCAGGCTCAGGGAGAGAGGATGCCTAAACCTGCGTTACAGGAGCGTAACGGGGGGGGGCATTCAGGGTTGCGTTACGTGTGATGTTAAAGCAGGCGCGTCGCGCTAATGTACCTAATGATAAAAATCAACGCAACGAGGGAATTTTTCATCTAGTTTCAGTTTCTTTCCAAAGCTGCTATCTCTAAGGAAGTTACATTACAATTTTTGAGAGAGAAAGAGCAACCTTTTTGAATGATAAGAATCAAAAGTCCAGGGGTGACATCGAGAACTCAATTCATGAAGTCTTGAACTTGAACAATCATGCATTACCTTAAATTTCTCGATCGATTTCTCGACGCTTTTCAGGAAAACATCTTAACAATGCCATCACATCGAAATTGAGCCGCTGGGTGCAGAAAGGGCGTTTCGTGGTTATAGTGTCTCAAAATCTCCGCTAACGTTTCATGCAGAATGATTAAAAGCAAATGCATGTAATTTTTTGTAATCTTTACTGAATATCCTTTACAATTTTACAGTGCAAAAACGCAAAATTTCTGAAAATTCACTGCAAGATTTCCTCTCTAAAGTAAAAATTGACACGGGAGATTCTGAAACTCCGCAACCAAGAAATACTCTTTCTGCATCCAACGCCAACTCAATTTCATTTTTAAACGTAGAAGCAGAAAGTGTTTTTTTTATGGTGGTTGCTCAAGTGGATTACTAAAACACGGGTTATCCGACTTCAGAGACGAAAGGAGTGAAAACATTTGGAGACTTCTTTTTTTCTCCCGAGTCTTAAGATGAATTAGATTTTTTCCCATCGGCTTTTAAGTTTGAAAAAAAAAAAAAAACCTTTAATATTTACAAAATTCAGCTTTAAACTAAACCAAATAATTTAGGAGTTAATCAATCAATACTATGTAGACAGGTTCACAAAACGAAAGCTGCATTCTATTTAAGTTTGCGACTCAGCGATTTAACTTTCTTGACATCACTCAAACTCCTATATGTAAATAATGTTACGAAAATTCGGAAACGAAACCCCTAAATAAACAGCTTTCTTTCTCAAAAATAGCTATCCTCATACAAGGAGAGAACCGCAGCTCCGCTCCGCGCCGCACCAGCATTCATGCATACTAATCTCAGAAGGCAATAGATTCGCCTTCGATCAAAGAGGTAGGCCAAAATGGGTACTCAGAAGCAGCTTTAGTTGTATTCCCACTTTTCGCAATAAATAGAACGCATCCACGCAAAAGAAGTTTACTTTCATATTCTAGAAGATTTTAGGTACAGGTTCTCTGTTTCAGGGATACTTTTGGTTTTTTCAAAGGAGTTTTTAGATAGTGTGCAGCCGCATTTGATGCTTAAACGCTTACAAAATGAAGGGCCAAGCATTAGGGAGACACGCTTTAGCTTGAAACAAATACAAAGGCTTCGCTTACAGTTGCACTTGCAGTTGCGGTTGTTTATTCCCGCAATGAAGTATGGACTGTATTAAGAAAAAAAAATAAACCAATAGGAATTTTA